TGAATTTCAAAATTCACTTCAATATTAGATTGCGTTCATATAAGTTTATTTTTTGGTTTTGAATTTCTATCATATATTATATATTTCAATATCTTGTACATATGATAAAATTATTTCTTTCTTATATCAGTTTGTATAAGAAAGTTATTAATATTCTTATTATATTTTTTAATTATTATTAATAATCAAGAGGAATTTATTTTAGCAAAATATAAACAAGTTTTCTAAGAAATTATCTTACTATTTTTAGTAGACATGAATGATGACGATATCTTCATTAACACCAACTCCACAAATATATCAATTTATTTTATAATTAAAAATGTTTTTAAATCATTATATTCTTAATTGTTATTACATAAATTTTTGTAAGATTATTATTTAAAATTAGTGACGGATTAGCGACGGAACTGCAATGAAATAGAATTAGCGACGGAATTAGTGACAAAAACTTATGTGACAAACAATTTAGTGACAGAATTAGCGATGAAAATTTCTGACAGAAAAAATCCGTCACTAAATATTTATTGACGATTTTTCGATGGATTCGCAACAGACAAAAATTCCGTCGTTAATCTGTCGCTAATATTAGCGATGAAAAAATTCTGTAGCTAATCCATCAAAAAAATTAGCAATGGAATTTCTGTCACAATTCCGTCAGAAATTAGTGACGAAATTTGTCTCCGTCACAAATTTTGTTAGAAATTGTCGACGGAATTTGTTTCTGTCACTAATCAACTGTTTTTTTTTGTAGTGTGAGTTAGTCACTAGCATTCTCCTAAGGCATTTAGTGGCATTCTTCTTCTTAGTCGGCACTCCGTCATCATTGTTAAAGCAAAGGGATTCGTTAACCCTAAGAGACCAAGAGGTAAGTCTTCAATATCAATAGCCAAAGTTGATTGCTCCAATGTTGTTCGTCCTCTTGATTACTCATTTTCTAGATTTAGGAAGGAGATAGCGGAAGAACTCTATGGTTGCGTTTGGTAGGAAGCATTAAAAATTAGGGATAGGGATTGGGATTGAGATTGGTATTGAAAAAATCTAGTAAAAGAGTGCTTAGCATAAAGGATTGCTTGTTATATAGGATTAGTCAAACCCATGTATATAAGATTAGAAAATACCATGGGAGGAAATGGTATTCCCCAATCGCACTTCTATGGGTTTGCCTAATCCCATGCAACAAGTAATTACTTATACTAAACACTATTTGAACTTTTTTTTTTTCAATTGCAATCACAACCCTTATCTCTTATTTTCAATGCTTCCTACCAAACGGGATATATGAGTTATGAAAGGGATGGGGTTTAACTCTACAGATTCGTTTTTTAATTTGATTTTGTTCAATATTTCTAGTCGGTCATTAATATTTGTTAATAACTATGGTTACTACAAGTGTCAATTTGTGCTTTTTGTAATATGCTCTATTTTGTAGTTGATATTTATCATTGGTACATGTCCGTTGCTTTGTGAAATCTAGTTTACAAGAAGAATTATTGTTTTTCCAAGTTGATTGTAGTAAGTTGATGCTTAGTGACTTAACAACTGAAGTTAGACAATTCACAAAAAGAATTAGTGCATTTACAAGCTAATTGTAGTGATTTTATGTCTGGCCTTGTAACAAGTAAAGTTAGGAAATTAATAATAACAATTAATGCATTTATAAGTTTAGGGTTTTATGTAATAAGTGAAGTTGCATGCTATGGATTTTGATGTGGTATTTAGTGTACTTATTAATAACATAGTAGTTATTGTGTGAAGGTTTAAGAAGATGGTCAAAAAGATGCAAGAGTTTCCAAATGGAAGGTATTGAAGGCTGAATCTTGGGAACATAACAAAGAAGAGATACGTGGAATAAAAGCAACTACAAATGTTGCTTCAGAAGAGCAGAACAAAATGGCTGATGGTGAGATTTTATGTGTTAGATTCATTACGTGGTGACAAGAAAATATCAATTGTTATATTTCAATTTGATATGTGATTTAAGTTAGTTTAGAATGTGTACAGTTTTGTGTATATAGAATTTGCACAATTTCAATTTCAATATAATGAAATATATATTATGATGAGTATATTACATGTCAATTAATTCTAATATTTTATTTTTTTTCCTACCAATTTGCAAGTTTGGGAGGGACTATTCACAACTAGAATACACAAATTTACAACAGGGATCCATAGATTAACAACAAAAGTACGCCCATTTGCAAGTGGGTTAATTTAATTCAAAAGTTGAACATGATAATTTATAAGTTTGGAAGCTGCTATTGGCAACTGGAATACACAAATTTCCAACAGGGATACGTAGATTAATAAGAAACATATGTCTATTTGTAAGTAGGCTAATTTAATTCAAAAAGTTGAATATGATATTCTGCAAGTTTGGGAGCTACTATTGATGACTGGAATATTCAAATTTGCAATAAGGATATATAGATTAACAAGAGAAACATGTCTACTTGCATGTAGACTAATTTAATTCAAAAGGTTGAACATGATAATTTGCAAGTCAGGAATTACTATTCACAATTGGAATACGCAAATTTGCAACAATGATATATAGATTAACAAGATAAACATGTCTATTTGCAAGTGGGCTAATTTAATTCACAAAGTTGGACATAATTTACAAGTTTGAGACCTACTATTCACTACTAGAATATGCCAATTTACAGCAAGGGTATGTAATTTAACAAACGAAACATGTCCATTTGCAAGTAAACTAATTTGTTCATATATTTTCATAGTTGTTAGGCAATTTCAGTGCAGTAGTTGGGACAATATATAACCAAGTACCGTCGTAAAATTTTTGATAAAAAAATTTACAATTAAAATTTGCAATAGAAACACAAGCTTTTACAACACAAAATCATCAATTTTCTAGACAATTAGAGTTTGCAAATTTACAACAAAAATAAGGATTTTCACAATACAAAATCATCATTTTTTGAACAACACACTGTATATTCATTATTCACAACACAAAAAACTAAAGAACCATGAGGGAGGGTGAGAGTGGGGGAGAAGCACTGGCGAAGGAAATGACAGACTCGCTAGAGAAACTTGAAGAGGAACTCCATAGTTGTTGCGCAACTTAATGGCACGAGCAATGGATTTTTTCTCAAAGTGAGTAGTCAAGACTGCACGAATTGCTTGAAGCGTCAGAAATTCTCCGTATCTTAAAGACGCGTATAAAGAGGAAGATTGAATAATAGGAGCACCACAAAGCAATCGTAAGCAATAGTGATAGATTGAAAAGCTTAGGAGAACAAGGACCACGGCTGTAATGAGCTCAATACACTTCAGCGATACCGATGAAAACAGAAGGTGAAAGATGCAACAGAGCCGAATGAGGGAGTAAGCTTCAATCTAAATTTATATGGGGCAATAAGGTCTTTTCACTACATAAGTTAATTTTATTTTAACCCCAATTCCCAAGACACTACAATGAAGTTTCAAAATTATTTGGGGGTGAATGAAAATTGTGTTGTTATAGCAGTACTTTAATGAAATTTTTGCTTTCAACAATTATTTATTCATTTACTTATCTGCAATATTATAAAAATAAGAAACACAAACAAAAAAATTCATATACAATTCAGTGGCCAAAACTAATTTAAAAAAAGCACAACGATTAATATTTTTAACATATTATGTATACTTTATTTTTTTATGTTATATATATTATCCAAAAATTTTATATATTTATACACAATAAGGAACCATGTCCTGGCCGCCCTAATGAGTCTTCGGAATACGAAAATGGATAGTATAATTAATATTTTATGTGCTTAAAAAAACTCAAGAAAAGTCATTAAGCATAAATGAAAAGTGAGATATATGGTTAATGTTCTTATTTTTCTATTTTTTTTTCAAGAATCAAGTTTTATTTTATGTTTTTAATGAGATTAATATTTTATACAATATATCCTGAGAAAAATAAAATTATCTAAATTTTGTCTACCAATACTATAATTTTGGTGAAAAAGTTTAAAAAATTATTTTTCACGAAAAAAAATATTTTATATGTTCTAACCATTTATAAATTTAATTTACTATTGTGATCATCAAAGGTCTTGGAAAGCCTCTCTCTGAGACGCTCCGTGAACCTTATTACCACCGCCTCAAATTCAACTTAAACGCAACGGCTCTATTCACTTCTCCCTTCTCTCAACGTCTCTCTGTTCTCTCAACTCTCATTCTTCTTCTCGCTCGCGCATTCTGCTTCTGTTTCTTTCTTGTTTTCTCACTCTACTGTTATGGATAACAGCGAAAACATTCTCAATGCGAAAATGTAAGGCGATGATTACTCTGATTCGAAATTTATTTTTGATTTCTTTCACCTACAGATTAATCGATTTATTCTGAATATAGGCACCGATAATTTGCTTCTTCCTGGCTACCAAGTTCACAGTCTCCAGAAACTTATAAGAGATAATTGGTTGGGGCCGTTGGTGTGAACCTCACCAGAATACTAGCCTTCAAGAACAAGCCATCAATATCGAAGGATCACCCTTCTCCTACTCTTGAATGCAAATCCTCCAAGCACTTGCGAGATATTCCTTGGGTATTCCTTTTGTTCAGAATTGAAGCTTTCTAGTTATGGTTTTTTTTTTGGGCATATTTTTCCAGTCCGATTGTAAAGTGGTATTGATTCTAAGGGTCAATTAAAATGATTTCAAAGGCCCAGAAGGTATTAGCTGTTCCTTGTCTCATAGACTTCTTATTAAATTTACTGTACTGGGGTAGCCATAATATTCTTTTCTAAAACCCTTAAAGCCGCCGCAGGTTTTTGGAATTACATAGACGACTCTATTTCATTAGACGATGAGGAGAAGGACCTGATTAACGGTGCTTAAGGTAAGCTTTGAGCCATTTGCTATCTGTACCGTATCTGTTGAGAATATGAAGAGATTAGTTTTGAAGTTATAGGCAATCATGTGTCTATATTTTATAAATATTTTGGGTCTTTGCTTAGGATATATATTTTTTTGCCTCCCCAGATTTATGGCTACTTACCTGATTTGTTGTGGAATTGGCTCTCCATCTTTGCCTTGACAAAATGAGTGAGTAAATTTGGATCTTTTGATTTTAAACTTACGTACTGGTGTAGCAACAATATCCTTTGCATTGCCCATAAAGACGTTGTTGTATTAGACGACGACTTTGTTTCCTATCTCACGTGAAGAGGAAGCACCTGATTACGGGTACTTAAGCCCTGTGCCCTTTGCTTTACTAGTATTGTGTCTGTTGAGAATGTGAAGAGATTAGTTTTGAAGTTAAAGGCAATCCGCTGCTACTATTCTAATGTATTTTTAATTGGGTTTTGTTAGTTTGCCTGTCCATAGTGCAGCTATGCACATTTCTGGTTCCCTCTCGATTTCAAGGCTGTCAAAATCTCCTTTTCATGAGTTATGGTGTGTGTTCTTCTTTCTTTCTTTTGTTTTTTTGCCCTTTGTTTTTTGTTTTTGCCTGAAGTTATGGTATGTTCACCTCTTCGATTTCTATGATATACAGGCCAAGAGAGAGGGAAAGAGGAAAACATAGAGACTCAAAGTAATTTCTTTATTCAACTGAGCTTATGTGGCAATCTACTTAACTGATGTAGTTATGGAGCATATCTTTTTTGACTGAAAGTAATTTCTTTATCTGAGCTCATATTAGCACACGTGTAAGTATTTATATCTCTAACTCATGTTATTTATTAATCTCCTTGACCTTCCTAACAGATTTAGTTACTCTAACATCTAACTCAGCCACGTGTGTCCTGCTGTCATTATCATTATTATTGATGATGTCACGTATCATTTTTAGTGAGGAACATATGATGAAATATTATCTTATGTAGTTCTGGAGCATATCTTTTTTGCTAAGCATGGGTATTCTCTTAGTTTAAAATTCCGTTTGAGGCACTGTTATGCACTAAATGCAAGACACTTGAAAATTTGAATCTTGGTTCACTATTGTATAACAAGTGCATCTTTTATTGCTAAACTAACTTATAAGTTTATAGATTTGTTCTTATCTTACCAACTTGTGACTGATCTCATGAATTAAACCAAGAATTAAAACCATCAATGAATTCTTTATGAATTTGAGAGGTCTTCAAAATTTGACAAGGCTAGTCATTGTTATGATCATTTGAGAGGTCTTTAAAATCCCATTGATCAATTAGATGGGAAACAAAAGTAGGCTATACATCAGGATTAATCTTAGGCAATAGGAGGCATCATTTTTATTGAATATAGGCGATTATGACCTTGAATATTTTTGACCTAGAGGCCCACTTAGATCCTTCTTGTGAGGTTTTTTTAAAGATGGACTTAACAATATCATCTGGAAGCTCTCTATGGTCCAAGGAGTACTGGTATGAACATCCTTACGGATAAAGTGAAATTGCTTTTCATAATTTTTAATCCTTTCAAATGGCATCAATTGAGAAAGTTCTTCCTTAGCAAGATGATAGGGGATTTGAGTAATTCACTAGATCTTTCTACTAATGAAGAGCATCTCTAGTGGAGTGGAGAGCATGATCTTGACTATGTTTTCATTATCTATGTAAGTAAACATATAAAGAGCATCCTGGGTGGAATTAGGAAAATGAAGATCTAAAGAATGATTCTGTACTCTCATTTCATGGTGAAGGGTGGCCACGATAGCTTGAGGATCTTGTTCAGCTCCATCTAAACTTTCAATCTCTGGGAAGTAGTTTGATCAAAAAGCATGAAATTAAAATCTAGGGCAATGGCCAGGATAACACTGCCATTGCTGAATGTAGTGAGAAGGGTTCCTAAAAGGGCTACTCTTATAGTGGCAAGGATTTCCATCCATTAAGGGTAGGAACAAGAAGCACCACACCTATGTGTAGGTGTGTATATCCTTGCTCTATGTATGAGTCAATAATGGGTTGAGGGATCTTAAGAGTGACATACTGTTCAGTAGTAGTTGCCTGGAGACCACACCTATTTGGAGACCACACCAATTGAGATGAGAGTAATCCTTTGGTATATGGTAACAAGGAGTGGATCTGGTAACAAGAGATAGGATAGATATGGTGAAAGATCTTTGTCAATGATAAATAGAGTAATGTTTTGGTATATGAGTAATCTCAACAAGATTATCAACCTTGCTGTTAAGGGTGCAGTGAAGGGATGAAAGAATGCGGTTAAGGGTTCTTTCTTACTCGCTCTTAAGAAAATACTGAGTGCATGGGTTCTTTCTTACTCACTCTTAAGAATACTGAGTGCATTTAACACTACAACAGAATCGATCACATGCAGGTTTGAACTTTAAGAAGTCTCTACTAGTCACATAACTTATCTAATGTAGCTAATGCCAGCTGATAGATTTCCCCCAGAGAAAGTTGAGAAACTTCTCGTTGGAGTGATGCTATCATTCAATGAAATTCTAGTTGGAGCTCATAAGGTAAAGATGCAATAAAGACATGTCATAGTTGTGGTTATTTTTCAGACATTTGTGAGAAATGTCTTTGTAAATCTCTTAATCTCTTTTGTCAAGAGAACAATATTTCATTTCAAAATATTCTTACTAATGTCTTCTTAAGATGATATTAAAATCACTTAAGAATTCTCTATGAATATAGCATCAAGAAATGATCCAGAGCTCTCATATCCAAGAAGTTGCAAAAGGACACAGGGATTCATCTGAGTAAACCATTAGCTTAGAGAACTAATCATGTGAGAAACAAGTTCTACAATAACTTGCCTAAGAGTTTATTCCTGGTCTTGTCATTTGAAGAAGAAGGATCTTCAACAATAGGATTAGTACGGTATAATTTAGGAGTTGGTTCTCTTGGCTAATCAATCATAGCGATTTTTGACAAAGTCTCTTCTGTTAGAGTATCTTTAGTCATGTCATAGACGAAAGAAGGTCATACTGATTTTATTGGGGAATGAGATAGATCGTGAAGAAGCAGGAGCAGTAACAATTGCTTTTCCTGATAGCATACCAGGAGGCATTGAATATGGAGGTCATGAAGCCCAAATAACTCTCCTTCAGTTAGAAGCCCAACAAGCCTCCAGAGTGTTCAAGGGATTTATAGCTCAAGAATACTTATGTGGAGGAGGACATGGATCATTCTTTGGATGATGACGTGGATACATATCAAGCTTAAAGTGACATATGGAAGGCTGCCCGAAAACCACCATGGTATATAAGTCATTGGAGTATTGAGAAAGATAAGAGCACATTCTACGAGACCAAAAGGAGCATTTGAAGCCAATTTCCATGTTGTTGAAGGCCCAACATAATTATATATGCATAGAGTCCATTGGAGCTATAATCTTTTAAATTGGGGCCCAAATGCATCGTGCTATGGACCGTGGAAATTCCAGAACGTGATTCAACCACATTAAAGCCCAAATGGATGTCTAAAAGGCCCATTTATGCTTTTGGACGTAAATAGCAATGGAGGTTCATTTGGAAGGTGTAAGAAGATTCAAGAAGCATCAAGAGTGATATTATTGACATTAATTAGGATTCTGTTTGTTTTCATTAGTTTCCTATTTTACAGTTTCCTATTTTCAAATAGCAGATTTGTTCATGAAGTTTAAGTTATTTCTTTTTATTTCTATGTAAGGAATGATGCCTCCCATAGCCAAATAATCATTAATGAGGCATCATCCCTAGCATTGATGTCTTAAGATACTGATTCTAGAGTGTTCTATGGTTACCTATATATAGGCTATGTTTTTGTACTTAAAAAAAGACTTAGATGAATGAGAATTGAATTTATTTCTCTCTGTGTAAGCTTTGCTTACATCGTTGTATTCTCATGAGAATACTCGACAGTATCACGGGATTGATCAACCTTATGGTGTCTCCATGGCTAGGGTTGTAAGAGACAGGTTCCTACCTAGATCAACCATCCGTTTGTTACTTGATTCTATCGGGTCCGTTCATTCCCCTCATATCATTTCCTCTATCTATGGATAAAGGAAGGGAGAGTTCTTATTTTCAAAGAGTCCTTTGAGGTTTGACCAACATATGCAGTTGGTAGTGACTAAAGAATGAGGTTGGGTACTGGGAGGATGAGATTAAGTGCTAAAAGGATACACAGTCTTTTTCTTTGATGGTTTCTTGGGTTCTCTGAGATGTTGGATATATTGATAAGTAGTTCTAAAGACATTGTAGTAATTAGCTTTTTGGTACCTACATATACATTTCAAAAACAAACAGATTTTTTTCCGCAAAGATTTGATATTTATAAAATGATCTGTTAGTCCTTACCTTTTTTCTTCGCCTTTTTTCTTCGCACAATAAACACCAGATTTGAGGTTCCTAGCTCTTTGGTAGCTGCAATATAATTGATACATGATTTTTTCCCCTTACATTTCTAAAACTAACTAAAAGTTTGCTCACTTATACTAGTTCTGTACTTAATGAATTTTAAAACTTTTTAAGAGAAAAGTTAAATCTCATTATAGTAAAAATTTGATATTCATAAAATGAAATGTTGGTACATACCTTTTTTTCCACATATGAACACCAGATTTGATGTTCTTATTTTCTTGGTACCTACATATATACTAGATATAGAAATTTTCTCCCCTTATATTTCAAAAACAAACTAAAAAAGTCAAATCTTATTATCCTAAAGATTTGTTATTAGCTCTTTTTAAGAGAAAAAGTTTAAATCTCATTATCATAACGATTTGATATTCATAAAATGAAATGTTAGTACATACCTTTTTTCCACGCAATGAACAGATTTGATGTTCTTATCTTTTTGGTACCTACAATAAATTGTACTGTTTATTACTCATTTTTACTAATTGTGTACTCAATGAAGTTTAAAATTTCTTTTTCATCTGAATATAGAAAACAATTTGGGCAAAAAAATGAGTACAAAAAATAATTAATTGAAAACATTACTACACCTGAACCCAAATTCTTCGGTTATTAAGTTCATCGCTCTCAAACTAAAAAAATATAGTAAAGCATACCCTGATCAATTTCTCTCCGTTTACTGTCATGGCATCAAGAACAAAAAGCTATACATTGTTTGACACTAAAAGAGGAATCAACAAATAAAAAGTTTCATCAACACAAGTTATCAAATGACAAGAAGATCCAACTGTTTTCTCAATTGAACTATTTTCATTTTGATGTTGCTTACTTTAGAAGGCCAGTGAAAATCTGCTCGTCCCCCAAAATCACAACAGTAGATGCTACAACACTGAGCTCCCCCAAGTTGTTCTATTAAGTTGTTTTCCTTAGCGAGTAGGGACTTTATGCTGTTGTTTAGGAAGAAATGTCCACGACATTTCCTTCAAAAATAAATAAAAATTCAGGACATTCACTGGTTAAGGGAGGAACATTGAATGTTTATATATACAGTCTAAAAGATGAGAGTAATAAATCCTATCTTAGCAAGAGATACAATTATATTGGATAAATACGATTGAGCATAATAAAGCCATTTTACTAATTTAATCTCATATATATATATATATATATATATATATAACAGAAAAGTTCGTAGCTGCACAGTGAACAGGCAAAATTAACAACCAATTGAAAATTCACCAGAACAGTACAATAGCAGAGATGAGAGTAAACCTTGGTCACTCA